TTGAGTGTGAGAGGGACACTGAGTAATTTTGAAAAAGCCACAACAAAACCCAGCGTGGCCACCACCCTAGCACATAGTCACAATATATCTCGTAGGTTTATCACTGTGTTTCTTTAAGACATTTCAGAAGCAATCTGAGAAGATATCTATGTTCCCCCGGCCTCCCAAACTTTCACAGTTATTACAGTCATCTTAATTTGACAGCAGTATTTTTAGCAACATGTCCATATTGAGACTTTCTCAAATATTCAATTTCATTTCCATACACAAACTCACTTTTTGCACTCATGGTGCATCAGTTTATGTGATAATTAAATTGTATGATCACAATAACAGTGTAACTGACATAAATACAACTGACTCTTGATGAACGTTCCACTTGTTTAAGAGCGGTGATGCAAAAGATCATTATAATCCATGTTAGCACATAGCCCAAGTGTAAGAGGCAGTAAAGCATAGTGGTTAAAAACAAACGTTGTGCCTGAGTTCAAATTCTCTGCCATCTGGACTCTGTATGATCTGGGCAAGTACTTACCCGGCCTCCCCGTGCCTCAGTTTCCCCTCCTATAAGATTTGGTTATAAGAGTCTCTACCTCATAGAGTTGCAGTGAAGATGAAATGACTTAATGGAAGTAAAGTGTTTAAAATATGGCCAGAGCATAACAAGTACTCTGTAAATCTTTACTAGAGTATCACTGTGACTATTACTTTGAACTACAAGCATTTTTAACTTCATGAATTGGTTAAATGTAGTTTGGTCAAAGGAGCTTTTACTATACGTGGCTCCAAAATATGTCTACATTGTCCAGAAGTAAAATACATAACTATTTATAAGTAACATTTAGAAATAAATATATAAAAAATATACAAGGCAGCCTTGAATTCAGAGTTCAGGTATTAGAGATCGGAAGAGGTCTGTCATTAAATCTTATATATTGAAACATCTAGGAATGGGATTCTGATGGGTGCCTCTGTTAGTAAGTTAGGGACTATCATAAAAGGATCTTCCAGACAAAGGGTTCAACCTACATCAAGGCAGGGTGACTCAAGAAATCACACCACATTCAAAAATGGTAGAAGTATAATGGAGAGCAATACGGCTAGGCAATGCAGATAGGTCAGAAAGGTAAGCAGGGGTCTGAAGCATTTCCTAGAATAAAAAAGGACAGCTGTGGAAGAAAGCCCCCTCTGGAGAACCTCTAATTATTTGTAGGGAGCACCCACGGGTGTCTGCTTAGCAAAGAGGGGCAGGCTACAGTCATCTACCTACTCGGCATGGAAATCAGCAAAGCTACCCCAACCAGATCCCCAAATAATGCACTTAAATCCAAATGTACAAGAGCAGTTCAAGCTGTCCATCACATCTGGTTGTTAGTATGTTTACAGCAGGATGTAAACTGATGTTCAATTACCCACGGAACTTTATCATTAGAACAGAACTTTAAAATATGCATGCTGAATTTGAAAAAATAGCTTGCACTAACGAAACCAATTTTTAAAAGTCTGAAACAGGGCTTTGCCAGGTTTTCAAAGCCATCTGTTTTCAAAGCCTACCTTCCTCCTTGTTTACCGCAGTCTGTCTGCTGTTTTAACAACCTCCAGAGGGATTTCACACGCCTCATTATGCAAAATCACTGCTTATGCATTCACTCTGCCACTTGCCTAACTAATCTCAACTCATAGCACCTTTCTGAGGAATATCCCCAGTCTGGAGTTCTCCTACAGGGCTGTAGATCAAGAACAGTGGTAGAGGGAGTCAGAGCAAGACAAAACGCATTCTCCAGTGTATTACTGTTACGAGACAGGCTTGATCTCAGCTCTTCCTTGAGGTGAGGAGGGGGACAAAAGCAGTAATGATTGTAATATGAATTTGAAATCGCTCTATTGGAAACAAAAAGGGGGTATCTTGCATCAGGTATATGTTAGAAAGGCAAGTTGATCCCCTTCTTATCCATGGCTCCTCTCCTTTAAATTATCTATTCTAGTGTTTCTAATTTCTTCCTGCACATAAAGCTTTGGGCCTATCATTTTTTGGTTTGAAGTAGTCAGGAGCCTGGATTCAAATGCTACTCTTTCACCTCTCAGCCTGATGACCTTTCTTAAGACATTTAGGATAACTACAAACTATTCCTATTCAATCATTATGTAAGTGATGGGTGCAGTACAGCTACAGAACTGGTCTTGTTAAACAGACACCACTGGATTTCCTGCAGACAACATCTCCTCTTTCCAACATCTACAAAAGCAATTCAGTGTTGCACGTTTGAGGCACCAACCACTGAACTAAGCTCTCAACTATATGCAACAAAGTAATGAGCAATGGCATTGGTTCTTGGTCAAGAGTATATTTTCTCCATCCTGGTAACATGTAAGGATCACCAGGGTAGCTAAAAGTTACCAGCACGTAAGTCCCAGTACGGTTCTGCATTCTAACTCAGTCTACATCAAGGTCCAATGGCCAATATTGTCAAGTTTCTTGTGGGTTTTTTTTTTTTTTAAGATTTATTTACTTATGCGTACAGAACTGGGTACAGGCCAGAGGCAGGGGCAGTGAGAGTGTGGGGAGCAGAATAGGCACATTTACAAAATATGCTGCTGAGGGGAGCAGCAGGTGAGACAGGAAAGGTCTCTGGGTCTATGGGTCACCTCCTTGTCCGTGCTGAAGAGGCTGCAGCTAGCTTTCAAGTGCTATGCTTTAACCTGGTGTGCCACCAGGAAGAGCCCAATACTGTAAAGTTTTGTGTTAAAGACTAGCATGATACAGTAAATGGCAAAACCTTCAATATATTGCATTTGTACAAAGTACATGTACCCATGGAATACTGCCCAAAACAAGATATAGAACATCTCTGGCATTCCAAAAGCTTCCTTCCTGCATTTCTTCAATATTTGAACCCCACCCACAAATAAATACTAATTTGAGGTCCATCACCGTAACATTATTTGCTGTCAAACTTCATATAAATGGAATCATAGAGTATATATTTCTTTGTTTTGATTGACTTCATTTGCTCTTTATCAGTCTATAAAATTCACCCAAGTTCTTGTATATAGCAATAATTGCAATTCTCTATTCTACAATTCACCCATTCTCCTGATAATGAACTGGACTGGTTTCAGAAAAATGTAGCAATGAACAATCCTGTCTCTTGGTGTCCATGTAGATGCACTTTGGAACATATAGCCAAGACTGGCATTGCTAGATCACAGAATTTATGTAGATCCATCTGTAGTAGAAAATATCTGCTTTCCAAAGGAATTGAACCAATGACTTTCCCACCAACAATATTCGTCAGTCTGGTTGTTCAACAACCTTACCAATTTTATAAATGTTCATATTTAGTAGCACCGTATTTTGGGTTTAATTTGCATTTCCCTGATGACTCATAATGTGGAACACCTTTCCAAATGCTTATTGGCACTTGGAGATAAGATTTTGTGAAGTATCTCTTTCCCCAACCTTTAAATTGAAGGGAGGAGAGGTCTGTGCCTTTATATAGATTGATAATTCTTTAAATTATGTATTGCAATATATGGATTGTATATATTGTATCTTATCCTGTGGTTTACTTTTCATTTCGTTAATTTCCTTAATTCATATCTCTGGGTAAACATAACTTCTTATTTTAGTGAAGTCTGATTTACATATTCTTTTCTTCAAGTTTTTTTTTTTTTTTAGTTCTGATATAATTTTGCCCTTCCCAAGTTCATAAAAATGCTCCTACATGACCTACCATAATCTAGGTGTTTCTCATTTCTTATTCAGTTCTATGTTCTAACTGTAACTGATTGGGAATATGGTGTGAGACAGGGATCAAGATTCACTCCCCCACATTGTTACAGTGGTAATCATTATTTCTTTAAGTGTTCATAGTACTATAGCTGATTTTATTCTGCTTCCAAATTCGAGATTTACTGCTCTAGGTCATGTGAAATAAGAATTCTTCAAGTGTGAAACAAAACTGCAAGTAGATATAACCTTCTGAAATGGAAGAACTGTCCATGTCTTTTAGGGTAGATGTAGGGAAAATTGACACTTTATGACTGATTTGAGAAACTAAATACCCCCCAAAACAAAACTGTATTACACAGGAGTAGTAACACTGGAGAACAACAGAACTCACAATCTGACCCAGACTCCCCCAGATTGCTCTCAAAGGGCAAAGGGAGGGTGACCATGGCACCAGCTCCAGTCCCAGGACATGCTCTGTGGTAAAGCAGGTGCTCTTTACCCACACCCAGGAATAACCCTGGAGCTTCACCAGAAGAGAGGGCTACATCCCTACCACAAATTTTGTTTTTTCCTGCCCTTTGATCCTTATGAGCTAACTTAGGCAGGCACTGCTCCCCTTTCTCAGAAGAGAAAACAGAGAATTAAAAAAACTGAAGGACCTACCCACCATTACTAGCAACTGTGTATAAAAATAAAGCCGGGATGATCCATAGGAAGAACAATTTCCCCCAAGGTGATCTGGTTTCTGAACCTTCAGAATAAAGGCTCCATTCTCAGAGGAACAACTTTCTCTTCCCAGGCTCACTTGGGAGGCTTTAGTAATTAATTACTAGTTACAAACTAGTAAATTGGAGTTAATTATCTGGACAGATCTAATTGCAACTACAACTTTGTTGAAATTAAATAAAACCACCACTTTAAAGTGCACAGAGCCCTTTAAAAGCATTACTTAAGGGTGCCTGAACATGTCCAGTCAAGACTGTGAGCTGGCTGGGATGCTGGGGCTGAGAAAATGGCCCATAACACACAAGTCCCTGCTGTACCCACCCCTCCACCTCACCCACATCCCAACAATCCTGAAATCCTAGGTAGGAAGGAGCCAGTTAGTTCCTCTTCCTGCATCGATCCCATAGTAGGTCGGCTTCAAGTTCAAGGGACTGACACAGCCTGATGGGTTCTAACCTCTCCCTTGAACAAATCTTATCATGAATCAGAGCCAGGGCCACTGGCTCTCACTCCAGTAGAGTCTTTATAGAAAAGTACCTACCTCAACAGTCCCAGGAATTCAGGAACAAATGCCTTCCAGGAGAACTCACTGAATTTGACAGATACCTGGAAGAGTAGAAATTAGTAAGAAAAATAACAGGAAGCCCACACAGGGGAAAAGTAGGTGTTCAAAGTGCTAAAGACAAAACAGAATCTGGAGTAAAGAGACTCTACATGCCCAGGTGGTGGGAGGTTAGCAATCTGTGGGAGCCTGTCAGATCATCCCTTCTCCATCACACCCTTTGGGGTCTCCATAGCCATAACCTACAAACCCACCAACCCCAAAGGCCATCTGAGTGGACCACAGAAGACATTATGACACCAAGTATAGGTTAGTCTGTGGATGTGTCTATCTGGGTGATGGAGGCCATTGGAGCCTACCCATCTTGAATTGGCCCACACCAAGTAACCAGCTTCTACAATTCATCTCTACTTAAAACTCCACTTTTAGCCTACTAAGTTGTAGCCTACTAAGCCATGGCCCAGTTGTCAGGCATCAGTGCTAGTGGTATCTGTCCCAGTCCTTGAGCAAGAACTCAAACCAGCCATTGAAGGCCAAGTCTGCCACATTGTTCTAGGCCAAAATGGAGCTAAGGCTGACCTCTTCCCAGTAACCAGAGCTCTGCATGGGCCATTTTACCCTATAGGGCAAAAAGCAGGTTGAGAGGCAGAGAGAGACTTATCTCAGGGCAGGATTCCTTGATCCAATAGCTGCATGACACTTAACATTCTGAGCTTCCATTTCCTGCCCTTCCAAAAATCCCCTACCAATTCCTAAAACCAATTAATAATTTTTCTATGTTCACGCAGAAGGAACAAAGATGTGAAACAGGACAGAGAAGATTCCTGGGGTTCAGGCTCATCTCTAACTCCCTCTGCATCAAGAGTATCTTGGTGGACAGCTAGTAATGGCCAAATTAGGGACTGGCAAAATTAGGACTTGGGACTGGCAAAATTAGGGGGAAGCACAGCAGACATCCACGTCCCAGCAGCCATACAGCCAGTACCAGTGTTAATCTCCGAGCACCCCCCATTCCAAACGCCAGCGCTATCTGAAAAGCAAGTACTCTGACCTGGCCCCTGAAGCGCCCTGTTCTGTTCCAGCTTTGTGATTCTGTCACCCTCTTCCTCATGTGCAGGTCAGTTTCTTCAGTGACCATGTGGGGGTATAAACTAGATCCAGCTCTGAAATGCTACTGGAGAGCAGCAGTGACAGTCCTCATTAGGAGACAGCAAGGTGAAGGGTGCAATGGGACCAGGCGGAAGTGCTCCACGTCTGGCCAGGACCAGGCGGGGCCCTGTGTCCACGAGGCAATTCTGAGCAGAGGCCTCTGTGGTGGCTGTGCTGGAGCCGGGAGGGGCAGAGAAGCTGACAGTGGTTTATCTGTCCCAGGCCTGCCTGAGAGGCAGCCCGCTGTGGGTACAGGGGAGCACAGCCTGCAGGAGCCGCAACGTGGAGGGTGGCTGGCAGCTGCTCACTTGGCTCTCCCTTGGCTTTTTCCCAGGGTTGTCTGGAGCCTCCACTCAAGGAAGCTCAAACTGGCACTCAAAGATCTGGCAACTGACTGCCTAGCAACCTGGCTTCGCAGCAATATGAGCCATACACGCATGCACATGCCATCACTCACCCCAGTACATGCGTGCACAACCTCACACCTACATGCAGGTGACCACCTGCCCCACACATACATGCGTGAGTATGTGAACACACAGTATGCGTCACATGTGAACACACAGCTTCCTCGATGCAGGCAGGCCCGTTCCCTCCTCCTAGCCTTTGCCCACCCAGGACCTTCCCTCCTCCTTCCTGCAGAGTTCCTGCCCCGGCCTGACTCCTCCCAGCTCCTTTCTCCTCTCTTGTCTGCTTCTCATGAACTACTCCCAGGAATCTTTCATTCAAAGTCTCTGGCAATGTCACTTTAGACAACTGTTGCAAGAGGTGAGGGGATGTGGGATCCAAAGAGGAAGCCTGAATGCTGGCTGGGGCTGGGGAGCTGCTGGCGAGGGGGTTGCTTTTCCCTTCCACTCACTGGGCTTTAGACACCAGGCTGATAACTCAACACACAGAGCAGCCTGGGCCCGGCCCTGTGCTCAGGGTCCCAGGGGCTGCAGGAGAGAGCAGGCTGACATGGAGCCCTAGACACAGACAGGCTCCAAAGTCAGGCGGGGCCCTTGGGAGGGGTGTGCGGAAGGCCTCCAAGAGCAAGTGAAAAGGATGGGACCCCTGGTCCTCACTGCACTGGATGGAGCCCTGCAATGGGCACCTCTTTCATTCAGAAGCACATCCCTGCCAGAGTCCCTGGCGGCCACAGGCAGCCCAGCTTGGGACAGGGGGGGAGACCATGACAGGGCCGAGTTAGCAGAGAGGGAAGGAAGTGCCAG